AATATAAATTCAATTCATATAACCAATTTCAAGTTCTTTGACTACATTTATTCAGAAACCTTTTATATGTCAAATATTTAATTACAATCCAAATTCAGACCTGTATCAAGCTTGAATATTGTGTCCATTTTTGCCCCAACTGTTCAGGGTTGGACCTCTGCGGGGGTATCCAGCTGCGCTCAGCGAAGCAGTTTATTATTACTATTATTATTTTAAAAAATGGAAATTTTATATTTCTTCCTTGAAAAACTAGTACTATAACAAAGTAATTTATACAGAATAACAAAACAAAACTATCACGAAAAACAATTTCCAAAATATAATTCCCCATTAATACAGTCCTATAGTTATCCACAAGAAATCGCATCAAAATGATGATGGATTTATTAAAATCAGCTTTTCAGCCACACCAAATTTTCAAATAAATGTGTCTGTGCTAGTTGATGAATAACACGTTTTCTTTTCTTGATAATAGGTGGTATGAATGAATTACAAATGTAAATATGTAATACAAATTGTGTGCAGTTTTTATACGACCGCGGTCGTATATTGGTATGACATTGGCGTCGTCATCGTCGTCGTCGTCGTCGTCCGGCGTCGTTGTCGTCCGAAGACACATTGGTTTTCGCACTCTCACTTTAGCTTAAGGTGGCTCGGCGCTTTAACAGTGCGCATATTTTAACGCATGTTACTAACGACGAGCGCCTTGGAAACGGTCGCTTTGAGGGGTTTTCTCAAAAATAGTTTTGACGACATTGGAACGCGGGCGTGTATGAAAGCACCCTTTCCCGATGTCAACAAACCATGCAAAACGTTCTACAAAAGCCACAAAACAGGAAATACGTACGGTCAGGACTACAGAGTGGTTTGTTCATTTTTCACATAAAAAGGAAAGAATTATACATGATATATTAAAGCATAACATTAAAAAAAAGAAAATATAAATATCGACTTGTACGACGGTATCTGGTGCGTTCGCTCCAAAAACACATTCTCACCCTACACGTTCGCCCCTTGGATGCGTTCGCACCCTATTTTCATTTAAATACTGGTTGAATATATCAAAAGATGTTTTTTAGATGTATTAGTATATATATGAAAATATTTTGCCAATGACGCAATGTTTAACCGTAAACAAAGGATAGCGATGTAAACAACTGCATCTGTCACCTTTCGGCTTTCAAAAACAAGTAAAACCCATATAGTATGCTATAGTATAAAGGCATCGGGGTTCATCTGCACGCTATAAATAATAAATAAATAAAAAATAATAAATAAGCTTTATTTAGAGTCGGCAAAGTATACAAACAGAGTCAACATAAGCTCTAATGAGCTTTTAACCGTTTTATCCGTTTGGCGTTTTATTACATTTTGTTACTGTCATAAATCTCTTTTTTTCTTGAAATATCTTCATTTCCAAGTATTGGTAGGATCTTATTCTGGAGTATGTGAAATATTTTCCCACTGCAAAATTTTGATAATATATATAGTTACGTATTTTTTATTTGCCAAAAATTTTTTAACATAACAATTCCGGAGTATGGGAAATATTTTCCCACTGCAAAATTTTGATAATATATATAGTTATGTATTTTTTATTTGCCAAAAATTTTTGAACATAACAATTCCGGTGTATGGGAAATAATTTAACACTGCAAAATTTTGATAATAGTTAAGTATTTCTTATTTTCCAAATTTTTTTTTGGACATTACAATTTTCAAACAAAGACGAAATACTTGACAGTCACACATAACATTTGTATTCAAAGATTTATATACTTTATCAAATAATGGCCACGAAAATATCTAACAAATTTTCTCGTATCATGATTCTATGAAATTTGGAACTCTAGTAATATAACATGAGACCTCGGGGCCAATGTTTTCTATTTATAATATTTTCCTTTTACTTATTTTGCTATTGGTTAATTTTCTATTTTCTGTTGTATCTATCAATATGCCAATAGAGTTCGCATTAAAAAAAGAAAGAGGAAATATCAGCGTAAAAACTAAAATAATTGATTAAGAATGAGTTATTATAATAGACTAACGGAACTCGAGCAACACATTTTTTGTTTTACGCAGAAAAAAACCCGGACATTTCAATAATTTGCAGTTTTCAACCTTTGATCATGTAGATGAAAATTGGTCAATAGCAACCGGGACCTTACTAGTATTCCGGCCTTATATATCGGTATATGCTATTATCCCTCAATACCACATGCTTTGCGGCGCAAAATATTTGGCTTGACCAAGTCGGGATTTTGCCTAGGACACACATCCGCAGTCTACCGGGCAGTTCCAAACACTACCAGTTAAAGACATTATATATACACAAAATCTATACTACTTACTAGGTTCAGGAAAAGTTGGGATTGTAATTTTAAAACTCCGCCCAATACACAGGGACGCTCATGATAATAGTCGGTGATATTGGCAAACTTTAACTTCTGTCTTACTTTTTGACATGCGTTTTTTTCAAAAGGGAAGCTAATAAGGAAAGTTCTTGATTTAAAAATATTAAAGTGGAGTGTGTCATTGCGGCAAGAAATATGCATGACAACTTTTTTAATGATGTGTGAACACTGGTTTGACCCATCTGCTAGCTGCAAAGAAACGTAATTATCGGCCTATGATGATATGGAGATGCAATTTTTTTTAATATTGACTTTTAAATTTGAACTTTGGTGGATAGTTGTCTCATTGGCAATCATACCATATCTCCTTATTTTCATATCGTAGGGTATAGAAATATGACTTCCCTAATCTGACAGATAATCCCTTGCTATGACAGGGTGTTCATACAGCTGGATGTATAAATACTTCCGGGGGGAGGGGGGGTAGGAAGGTGCACTTCAATACTTAATTGATAGGGGGTGCCGCTGGGGCCCACCTTTTTCAAAAAATTATATTTCAAAAATGTATACCTTTTCATATATTGCGTAGGTAAAAATGTAACCTTTTCCCTATAATGCTTGGGTTTCATGTAGTGTAATGTAAGACTAGAATACTAAAGTGTTAAAAGAGAAAATTTGGTTGATAAAATCACACCCGAGAACACCAAGAAAGATGACAGACGAAGAAGTTATGGAAACTTTATTGACCTTTTCATATATTTTTGATAGTTTTCCCCAACCTTTTCACATATTTTCAAGCTTGAAAAGGTGACCTATTCCAGCGGCACGTCCCATCACCTTGAATATAGGAAGTGCCCCCTCCCCACCCGAGATAAATACGCAGCCTCGTATGGTAAAAGGGAGGAATTTTGTCCATACCAAAGCATGCAGTCCATTCATTTTCTAGCGGCAGTCCATATAGTTTTTGTGTTAACAAGAGTGCACAAGCTGAAATGTCTCACCTGCTTTACTAATCATCATTCATGATTGGTTTTATGTTGATATTCCTAAAGATAAAGTTTCACTACAAGTATCAGAAAAAATTAATATTATCAATGATCATGAAAATGATCAGATAAACCAATCCAAGCCAGCCTTACACAGTGGCGGAGCCAGAATTTTTCATGAAAGGGGGAGGGCTGACTGCCTAAGAGAGGCCTGCTCCAGTCATGCTTCCGGGATTCTCTATATAATCAACCAATGGGCCCTCCCCCTAAATCCGCCTCTGTTACAATCACCCCATCAACCAAATATTTTAATCATATATATAGTATGCCAGTAACGGACAAAACCATGAACATAAGGTTAAGTTCAGATAGACCCTGCAAGACAGGCATATTTGTTTTTCATTCATTATTTTGTACATAAATATGCCGTTAGTTTCTCTCATTTGAATTGTTTTAAATTGTACATTTGTCATTTGGAGGCCTTTTATACCCAACTATGCAGTATAGGTTTTACTCATTGTCGAAGGTCGTATGGTGACATTAAGTTGTTTATTTCTGTGTCATTTGGTCTCTTGTGGAGTGTCTCATTTACAATCATATCACATCTTTTTACTTAATATTTCAATATATACATTTAATAATCATACCATACACCAAATATAATAACCCATTGATTACACAATGTAGCATGTTAAAAGAGGACTTACCATTGACCAATGAACAATGCAAATGTGGTCAATGACAACTGCCAGACAGACATGTACTCCTTACATTTGTAAATCATTGCATACATATAGTTTATCTACTACATGTACTTTTAGTATTAGAAAAAACCAACAAAAACACAAAAACATGACATTGACAAATGACCTATTGCTAACAGTATCTGATAAACAACCCTAATCAGGTAACTTTAACCTTAATCACTGATCCATGAAATGTGCTTGAGATCTTTGTAGCAATCTGTATTAATTTGAGTGCATATCTTAATTAACAAAACAAAATTAATCTGGATCATTGTGATACTGTAAATTTAGAAATTATTGTGAGGTTATTATAAATGCAAATAATGCGACAGGGTGAATATTGCAATAATAAGAACTTGCATTCTGATAACTGAATTATAGATCTTTATGCAGATTTTTTTTGTAATCGCAATAATTAAACTCGCAATTTAGTCCATTCGTCAAAAATCGCCATAATAAATGCACGCAATAATTTCTGAATTTACAGTAGGTAAAAATGTTGTCAGTTAATAGTGAGACACAAGTTTTCCCAGACAATATATAATTCTTTTGGTTGTTTTGTTTGGTTGCTGTCTCAATGAACAAAACTGTATTTTATTTCTCCTTTTATTCAGAAAATATAACTTTTGAAATAGAAACTGAATAGCATATGGATGGAAAACAAATGCCAAATGATGTAAAATAATTCAAGTGGCCATTTAGGTCAGGGGTTGGTGAGATAAAAGATGAGGCAAAGGCATGTGCATTTACCACAACTGCCACTTGGTATTATGATTTCCAAAATTTACAAATCTCATAGCTACCTTCTGTATTAAAGACAACTGCATATATTGCAGTTTGCATATCATGAATTGTGTTTGCAGCAAAATTCACTACAGACAGCAAAAAAAAATAATTCAGCTCTATTAAAATTCATTTTTTGAAACATTTTTGATTTTTATTCCTAAAATGTCTATGAGATCAAATTTATAAAACATTTATTAGCATTGTAAATTTCAATATACTAGTAATTGTTGACATGTATACATCATGTACAATCATTAGCTGATCAGCTCTATATTTTCATTATTTTTATATCAATATTCTTCATCAGTGTTTTTTATAAGACTCAATAATCTGTATTCATCATTGGGACAGGTAGGTAAAGTAGGTCCTTTTGATCTTGGATTTTGACAGCACTAAAGCATATAGTTCCAAATTATAGTTGATCTTGGCTTCTTAAGTGGATTCTGACAACACTTTGCATATAGACACCAAGTGTAGATGATCTTGGGTTCTCTCATATGGATTCTGCCAGTACTTTGATTATACATGTAGTTCCAAGTATTGTTGATCTTGGCTTCTAATGTTGTTCGTAAGTTTCTGCACTTTACATATAGTTCCCAATTGCCAGACAAGATGATACTGGCTTCTCCTGTAAATTCTGTCAGTTCTTTGCCAATAGTTTCCAGGTAAAGTTGAACATTCCAGGATCTTTCACAACAAATCACTCCTTCCTCTTACATGTACTTGAAGCCTGAAATTAAATGTCAGAGTAATTCTGTCAGAAAATCAACCATGATTGACATTTAAAAGCATAATGTAGTTCATATTTTAAATAAATGGGGAATGTGTCCATGGGACACAGATGATGCCCCCACTTGCATACATGTATTAAGTTATAAAGGAGCATAACTAAAGAACGGTAAGAGTGACACTACCCAAAGTTTTACTTGATCTGAAATTTGTTGTAATAAGTAATGTGTATAAGTTTCATAACATTTGGATGAGGCAACTCTAGAACAGTAAAAGTGAAACCACCAAAAAAAATTCAAACTTGATCTGTGTTTGTTGGTAATAAGCATTGTGTATAAGTTTCATTCATAACATTTGGTTGAGGCAAACTGAAGTTAGAGAACGGACACCAATTTTGGGACAGACAAGGGTAAAACTTAACGCCCACTCCACTACGGCGTAAAAAAATGAAGAATTTGTGGCAACAATAATGAGCAAACAAAATAAAATTGCATGCACAGCAAGTGTAAATAGTGATTTTGTTTTTATATATATGTACATGTTGAATACAGACTTCTCGGGGCATGCTGTTTCGATGCCAGGGACAAGTTATTTCTATGCCTAAAAATTCTAAAATGCAGCTGAGCTACATTTGTACTCCTCGTCAACCAAATTATGCTGAGGTGTCTTGTAACCTGTTTGGAATATATGGGATATACAAATTTTGTGTTTAAAAATACTAAGCACAAAACAATAATGAATTTTTCAACTCAAATGTATGCGTTATTTGGTAAAGATTATAGCAAATATAACTAGAAAATGCCATTCTGCCCTATTTTGCTTTAAATCCCCCACTTTGTATTTTTCGTGATACTGATAACATTTGGCTGTCTAATATATTAAAATCTATGTTTTCTTATGTAATGACTCTACCTTCATCGTTGTCTATTCGCCACTATGTCTGTTATTCATGCACATGGCCGTATTTATCAGTGGAGTATGCTGCTCAGCAATGGTGACCCTGAAATTTCTGTTGTCCGATTATAGCGCCAGATTAGAGGGAAGCAACTCGCGCCAGACAAAATTACCATGTTTCACCAAAATAATCAAAATTTCGCTTTTTTATAACAAACAGTAAAATGTTCATCACATTTATATTCAGCTTTCGTCCATTGATATAATTACAAACATTATTTATTTAAAGACACCAATAAAAAAATCACAATAAAGTAATTAATGGAGTGCATTGAAATCAGACCTCATGGGGTAGAGGGGTTAAACAAAAGCTCGTAACTTTTTTAAAAGCCTGGTGACCCCCATTTTATTTTACCTTAAAATGCTTGAAAAGTTCATAGCTTTGACATATCCGTTTTTAAAAAAAATCTACCGGGGAAATTTTACGAAAAATCGATTTAACCAATATTTTTAGCCTTAAACTGAAATTAAAAAATGCCAAATTTAGACATAAATCTGAAAATAAAAGGATTTTTAAGTCTAAAACAACCAAGGGGAACGTTTACATTTCAAATTTGATTGTTTTTCACATAATAATCATACTGACATGGTTCTAAAAGTCTTTGAATTTGATGTAGTCGTTATTGTTGAAAGGGTGTAAAAGTTTGGAAATAGGGTCAAAATCGCACATTTCGCTTCCATTTGAGGAGAAAACGAGCCTGGTGACCCCCTTTTTTCTTTGCATTTTTGGATTCAGCATAAAAAAATCTACAAAATATGTGAAAATAAAAAAATTCTACCGGGGGTCCTTATTGGGGTGAGCCACCTTAAGTGAATGGATCTCTATGAAATTTTACCATAAGGTGAAATACCACAAAAGGAAGGTGGGGATTGATTTTGGGGGTTATGGTACCAACAGTTAAGGAATTAGGGGCCAAAAATAAGCATTTTTGTAACTTCCAGACATAACTTGTGTGTTAGTGTATGGATCTCTCTGACATTGTACCACAAGGTTCCATATCACAAAGGGAATGCTGGGATTGATTTTGGGGGTAATTGCCTCAAAATATTAGGAATTAGGGGCCAAAAAAGGGGCATAAAACAAGCATTTTTCTAGTTTCATGACAATAACTTGTGTGTAAGTGTATGGATCTTTCTGAAATTGTACTACAAGGTTCCATATCACAAAGGGAAAGCTAGAATTGAGTTTGGGGGTAATTGCCCAAAACGTTTAGGGATAAGGGGCCAAAAAGGGGCCAAAAATAAGCATTTTTCTAGTTTCCAGACAATAACTTGTGTTCAAGTGTATGGATCTCTCTGAAATTGTACTGCAAGGTACCATACCACAAAGGAAAGGCTGGGATTGAGTTTGGGGGTAATTGCTTCAAAGTTTTAGGAATTAAGGGCCAAAAAAGGGGCAAAAAACAAGCATTTTTCTAGTTTCAGGACAATAACTTATGTGTAAGTGTATGGATCTTTATGAAATTGTACTACAAGGTTCCATATCACAAAGGGAAAGCTGGGTTTGAGTTTGGGGGTAATTGCCCTAAACGTTTAGGAATTTGGGGCCAAAAAGGGGCAAAAAAACAAGCATTTTTCTAGTTTCCAGACAATAACTTGTGTTCAAGTGTATGGATCTCTCTGAAATTGTACTGCAAGGTACCATACCACAAAGGGAAGGCTGGGATTGAGTTTGGGGGTGATGAATCATAAGGGGGTTCAAAAAATTTGGGGGGGGGGGGTTTCTTTAAAATTTTCCATTTTAAATTGGTTATTTCTGATTTATATATAAAAGCAAATAATAATGATATGGTTTGAATAGGTAAATTAAAAAATTTTAAGTTCTTAGACCACACTCATTCTGTGTCAGAAACCTGTGCTGTGTCAAATATTTAATCACAATCCAAATTCATTGCTGTATCAAGCTTGAATGTTGTGTCCATACTTGCCCCAACTGTTCAGGGTTCGACCTCTGCGGTCGTATCAAGCTGCGCCCAGCGGAGCATTTTATTCAAGGAAGAAATATAAAATTTCCATTTTTTAAAATAATAATAATAATAATAATACATGTAATAATAATTCTTTATTTAAAGAGGGTGACACAGTTAGCTGTAAAACTAATCTTCCCTGAGGCCCTCATGAAATACATTGAAATATAACAAAGCATTTTCTCGTCCTGAATATGCATATAAATTTGCCACTGGACGTTAAGCAGCCATCCATCATAACGTTTATAAACAAGTCTTATTAGTCACAAGGAAACATTGTAAGGTTATTTCCTAAACTGTTTTTGGTGTTATGCGTATTACAACCGTTAAAATTTGGGAATAAATGTCACAATTTATTACACTGATCCCACAGGTGGAATTATACTTGCATAATGAAACCTTTGTTATTGTATCTGTAAAAAAAAATTGACAAATTTGTGATATCTATATATATATATCTATTGAGCAAGATTTCGCCCGCCGCTGAAGCGTGACTTTTATACTAGTTCAAAGGCAGAGGTGGCGACAAGCGTTAACTAAGTGTTAATACTGTTTTAATCAGAGGTTGGAACAGCTCTAAGAAAAGCATATTTTGTATGTAAATGGCTTATGGTCTTAAAATTTTGTTTGTCGATGTTTACTGGGATTAATAGAAAATGTATTAGTTCCAGATGTTAAATTTTTTACTGAAGTCAAATTTGTTAGTTTTCGCATTTTGGTCATTTTCTCATGTCATTTATATAGTAAATATATATGTATGGATTTCAGAAAACAACAATCAATTACCAATTTTAAGGTACTCTTTTAGAGGAAACGAATCGAGCTAGTTGTTTGTAACTGGGATAGTCCGACTGAGATGAAGTGAATCTGTTTTATAATGGCTGTCTCAGTGGCCTCCAGAGTACTAGTCTTAGGTTCGATCAACTCAAACCAATTACATTAAAACTGGTATTTGTGACTTCTTTTTCCAAAAGCACGGCGACATAGTTATTTACTTGAGAGATTCACTGTCAAAACATAAATAATAAAGCTGACCTATTTTTGTACCATCGCCAAAGTTCACTCAAAATGTGGCATTCTCGTATATTTTTTATGGTTGTTCACTACACACAGAAATATCATATAACCCCTTTGGCTTTCGATCACATAGGTTAAAGATTCGAAAAGTTCTGCTAAATATAAATAAAATGTGGTATGAATGCCAATGAGACAACTCTCCATCCAAGTCACAATGTATAAAAAGTTAACAATTATAGGTCAAAGTACGGCCTTAAGGTAAATAGTCCAGATTTATCTCAATATATAAAAAAAATATTGCATATTTCAATTACACTTCTGACAAAATTATTTTCGAACTCTGGTTTTTACTATAGACTTTATACTTGTAAAGCTTTAAACGTCTATGCATTATTTTTTTTCGGTTTTGCCAAGTAAACATCTAAAATGATAATTTATCAAAATAACGTGTTTGTATCACAAAAATAAAAACATGGAGCTTTCTTTATTTTTCCATAATTTTGATGCATTATGTTCTATTGAAAACCCGTCTAATTCTATTGATTTCATCATTAATCAGTTAATAGTCCAAATAGACGAAAAATAAGCGACATAGCAATATTCACAATATTTTTTCTTTCTCATTTTTTTATTTCACTTAATTTCACAACTGAACACATAGTACAAATTTAGACATTACCAAAAACTGATCGGTTACTAGTAAATATATCATGTATATCACAGATTCTTATTACAGCACATGCAGTGTGTTAATTTACTTAGCATCAACCATTGTCGCAGTGCTGCGTCATGCTGAACACTATCATGAACCAGCTTCCAATACAAGTTTCTGGCTTTAATTAACACGTAATGATTACACATATGTTTGTAGTAAATAATCAGACTCTATCTTGTTAATGGAGCGTGCCAAAGTATTGATACAATCTGTGATTTACCCTTTTTACAAAGGTCGAATTTATATGTTCCACACATTCTCTACTCTCTCGTGAGAATCTTGAACTGCATATACATTGGATTATTAAATTTATTTGTACGGGCTTAAGTTTTAATTTGATAATTAATATATGTGATTTAACTTTAGGTGGAACGGTAGTATTTACTTATCGGGAACTAGGTTGCTCATTTGTATAGCAAGTTCAATAATTCAAAACTGGGTTATAAAGTATTCACATTATAATGAAGGATTTCCATATCTCATATTTATATACAAAAATTCCCAAATATAGTATTTTTGCAACGAACGATTCAATTATGCTTCGGAACTTGTATATTGCTCATTAATTTATGGTCATACGATATCAACATTATGCAGATATTCAGCAATTATTATTATCGTAGTAGTAGTATTAAATAGTTTTAAATATTATAAATATAAATATCATTATTACAATTTGATTAGGCCTGGAAAGACCAATTTGGAAACAGAATTAAAGAATATACCATAATATGTGGGGTTAGGGTATTTGAATTGGACCCCTGCTGTTGTTCCGCTCTTATCTACACAAACTTGTAGCGGAGCGTCAATCAGCGGACGGCCAGTTTGTTCGGGTATCATAAATTAATTGCAGATCTGATAATACTTTCGTACTGGTTGTTCTTTTTTCCTTATTATGACTCTTGCACATAGGGAATTTTACTTAAATTATAATAAACGTCTCTATTTTCAATGTTCTTTGTAGAAATTTAGATAGTACTTGGGTTAAGTATAATCATATTTTTGATAACAATATATTCAAAGAGAGCTGACAAAGAGAAAACTTATGTTCATATATATGTTATCTAAAAAAAATATTAAGATAGATACATCATATGATTGTTCTGCTTTCAATGTTATTTGTTTTGATTAAAGCAGATTGTTTTCTGTTAACGTCCTTGACGTAGTTCAAAGAGTTCAGTTTTGAAGGGATAAAATTTGTCGTCAAGTTTCCCAGTCGCGTGGGGTCCTGACCCAACCTTCTCTTAGAGGTGTCGAGAAGTGGAATCCTAGGCTAGTTTCCCCGACTGCCGAAAGTTGGGTTTCACATCTAAAGTTGACACT